CCCTGAACCCTGAACTCCCTCAGCCTTTCAGCCCTAAACTGACCAAACCCCAAGCTCCCAAACTCCCTAAACCCGAGATACTCCAGTGTTCAACGTGATCCCAACAGCGGTACATAAATACTGCTACATTGTGCTTGGTTACGGCAGACGCTGCATTAGCCACAGCAACAGCAACTAAACCTTAAATCCTAGACCCTAAACCCCAAACCCTAAACCCAACACTAAGCTCAGCCCTCCAACCCCGAAAGCCCCCAGAACCCTCAACCCTCAAAGCCGAAACCCTAAACCCCAAAAGAGCCGCAAAGCCCTACTAAGACCTTTAAAACCCTAGAACCGAAACGCCTTGCACCCGGAAGCCTCAACCCTAAACCCAGAACCCCTAAACCCTAAACCCCTACCTTAAGAACCCCAAAACCCACTTTTTTGTAGGTTCTTATTATAAACCCTAATATGGGATCTATAGGGACCCTACAACAAAGTAGGTTTTGGGTTCTTAAGGTAAACCCTTAACAGCGAAAAGCACGTAAGGTGGGAGCTGGTGCAGCCGGACGGGAATGCTGTTCGCCTCCCTCGGGGCTTCGCTTCGGGCGAGACCCCGCTGGCCGCCGCGGCAGGGAGCCCGGACGTCATAACGTTGTGTTGTTTGCGTTTTTTGAAATCAAGGGACTAAAGGAGGGACCCTTAAAGGGACCCTTGGAGTTTTTTAAGGGCTTCATGAGACTATATAAGGGGTATATAAGGGTTATATAGGGACTCCAAGCCCTGAGCCATTTTAGGAGTTTCCGAACATGAGGGGCACCTTATTCGGGGTCCTTATAATTAATAAGGATCCTACTATTTAGGGTCCTATTTGGGGGTCCTCTGTTTTCGGAAACCCCATATATAACCTATCTAGGGATACTAAAGATTCCTTACGCCATAAGAGGCTTCGCGCCGCCACGCACACCTCTACATCCTAAGGCCTCAAGCCTCACGGCCCCTGTACACCCCAAAACCCCCAATCATGCTTGTTACTTCGAGCTTCTGTGACTTCCCTGTAACAAAGTTACTCTCATGGAGCACTTACAATATTAACCCTAAACCCCTAAACCCTGAGCCCTAAACCCTTAAACCCATAATAAACCCTGTAACGCCCTTTGGAAAATGTCGCAGGAAGAGATTTACCTTAAACCCTCAACCCATATAGGAACCCTATACAAACCCGATAAAAGACGATAAAGACTTTCAAAACCCTAGGCAGGAATGCTAAACCCTAAACTTGTAAAGCCCTCGAAAAAACTAAACCCCTTTGCCGCTAAACCCACCCTAAACCCTAAACCTTAAACCCTAAACCCTAAACCCTTTGCCGCTAAATCCTGTAAAGCCTTTTGAAAAAATGTCCCAGGCAGAGATCCTCCCTAAACCCTGAACCCCAAACCCTAAAGCCCTAAACCCTAAAACCCTAAACCCTGAACCCTAAACCCTAAACCCTAAACCCCAAAACCCTAAGACCCCAAACCCTAAACCCTAAACCCTAAAACCCCAAACCCTAAACCCTAAAAGCCTAAAGCCCTAAACCCTGAAGCCTGAAGCTCAGGTATATCATGATCCTAGCCCAGCCAGAGATGAGCAAGTTCGCCATCGCGGCGGCGATTGAGAACCTGGAGGATGTCGAGGCTCGCTTTTAGGCTTTAGGGGTTTAGGGTTTTAGGGTCTTAGGGTTCAGGGTTTAGGGGCTT